ATGTTGCCCTCTACAGAATCCACCCCCCAAATCTCCAGGTATTTCCCTCCTTAGAGCTGGCAACCCTACATTCCCCTCAGTGCCTGTTGGTAGGCAACTAAGCTTGGTCCTGTCACCTACTTTGGCTTTTGGGAAAAAACACATTGGGGCCAGTCCTGATTGGGTTGCCAACTCCAGATGGGAAATTCCTGGAGATTTGAGGGATGGAGCCTGAAGAGGGTGAGGTTTGAGGAGGGGTGGGACCTCAGACAGGCACAATGCCATAGACTCCACCCACCAAACCAATCAGTCCCACATAGGGAACCATTGTTGCCAATCTCCAGGTGAGGGCGGGAGAGCACTCAGAATTACAACTGCTCTGCAGAAGGGAGGGCAGAAGTCAGCTGAAGTCAAAGGGGCAGATAATGGTAGGTTGATGGTTAGCTGGGAAGGAGATGGGGTTGCCAACTCCACCCTCCAAACCAGCCATTTTGTCCTGGGTAACAATTGCTGCCAATCTCCAGGTGAGGGCTACAGATCACTCACAATTACAACTGCTCTTCAGGTAGCAGAGATCAGTTCCTCTGGAGAAAACAGTGGACTCTGTCATTATACCCTGCTGAGGTCACCACAGCAAATTGACACTGTTTGCCCAAAGCCAGAGCACTCTCCCAGAGCCTCTTTCTAGATCTCGTTGTATTGTTTTCACAACGGGCTTTACTGCTAGTAGCGTTATAAAGCGAACATTTTTTAAAAAAAGCTGGAGATCCCCCGCACGGGCAAAAAATGGTGGGGGGAAAGCGGGGAAAAGTGGTGCAGTCTGAAATGGCGAACCGCTTCAGCTCCAGCTCCTTACCGGAAGGGGAAAGCCATGTGTGAAATAGCAGCCCTATACCGGTTCACTTCAAAACGGATCATTACCGGCTTGAAACCGGGTGAAACTGGGTAATGTGAAATTCCCCAGTGATTTTAAAACCTCTTGCCTGGCCCACCTCTTGTGAGGCTCTCCATCAGAGGTGATAGCTGAAGCCACCTGCGTATTGACATCCCTGAATTGCTCTGTACCTATGAGATAACTCAGTCCCCTGTAGCTTTCCCATTTCTAGCTGTTAACCTATAGAAAGGTACTTTGAGCATGTAAAGAGTGCAGAACCAATCATTGCAACTCTGATATGAACCCCAGGGAAATGGGCATTTCTTCACAGCAAATATTTCATTTCTTTTAAAAAGTCTGTTTTTCTTGTTCTAAAGCAGGGGGGAGGGCATGTTCATTCCCATTTTCAAAAGGTTTTCATTTGTAATTAAACCGGCACTGGGCCATGCTGAAAATAAGAAACTTTCCAGAGAGAATGAGGACTGTTTTAAGACATGAGGGTCAAATAGAGGAATCCCTCCCAATTAAGGACTTTTGAGAGAGACTGAATCTGGTAAGGGAACTTTTAAGAACCAACTAGAGAGTTCTGGTAGTGACTGGATCTGGAGCGTAATGGTGAGTTTGGTGAGGGTTTTTTTTTTCTTTTCAAGTTCCTATGTTTTAGGGAGTAAAATACAGCTTGCTCTAAAGCTGTCCCATTTCCAAAGAATGTCACAGTCTCCTACATTTTCAATGCAGGCGGAACACCAGAATGGGAGCTAAGAACCTCACATCTGTGACGGAATTCATCTTGCTGGGACTCACCAGTCACCGGAAGACCCAACTGCTTCTCTTTTCTGTATTCCTTCTCATATACTCACTGACTCTTGTGGGGAACCTGCTGATCATCATCCTGGTGCTGACAAACTCCCACCTCCACACCCCCATGTACTTCTTCTTGACGCATCTCTCGGGTCTGGAGGTCTGTTACGTCACCAGCACCATGCCCCAGATGCTGGCTCACCTGCTGTCCGGAAATGGAGCCATCTCCTTCACCCGCTGCATGCTCCAGATGTACATTTCCCTCTTCCTGGGTTGTTCCGAATGCTTCCTGTTGGGTGTCATGGCCTATGACCGCTACCTGGCCATCTGCCATCCACTAACATATGCCATTCTCATGGGCAGGTGGCGTCTACTGCAGCTTGCTTCAGTCTCCTGGGGAATTCCTGTTATCCTCACTGTGGTAAATGTGCTGTGCACACTGTGCTTCTCCTTCTGCGGCCCCAAACATGTCAACCACTTCTTCTGTGAACTTCCGGTGGTGATGAAACTTGCTTGTGGTGACACTCGTGTCGCAGAAGCCATCCTTTTTGTGACGGCCATGCTGGCCCTGCTGCCCCCCCTGTCTATTATCCTGACTTCTTATGGACTCATTCTATCCTCTGTGTTACGAATGCAGTCTACCTCCGGACGGCACAAGGCTTTCTCCACCTGCGCCTCCCACTTGGCAGTCGTCACCATGTTCTATGGGACCATCATTTCCATGTACATGAGGCCCCAATCAGTCTCCGCCCCTGATCAGGATAAGAAAACAGCTGTCTTTTATATTGTGATCACCCCTCTCCTGAACCCCATCATTTACACTTTGAGGAACAAGGACATTCATAGGGCAGTGAAGAAGACGCTGCGAAAAACAGATTTTGAACAAAAATACTGATGCGATGCTTGACAGGTCAGAGGTTGTTGGGGGGGGGGTCATTAAGGATACTACCTACTTTGAATTTTAACCCAGGGAGACTTCCATGTTGGGTTTGGACATCAGAGATCTTGTCTTCAGCCTTGACGTCCAGTCACTGGTCTTTGAGTTGGTGCTGTCTTCAGAAATGCACAGAGCGCCAGGGTGTCATAAGCATTTATTTTAATAGGCTGTAGCTATTATTGAAATAGCTTTCAAATGTTGGTGCAAAATCCCTCCACACTTTGCTAGGAAATTGTCCTCAAATATCTATCATTACCACAAATATGTTTCATTTTTGTCCCACATACTATACTTTGCCTGATTTCTTTTTAACATGCTTTGTACTAAGAAATATTGGTGTCAATTTGCTAAAACAAATAAGCCAGTCGGAATTTCTTCCCTTTGGGGAAAAAAAAGAAATGCACAGATACACCTTGGCTTAGAATCTTTCAAGGGGCATCTCCCATGGGATGGCCATGTTGTGAGAGATACACCGCTATCACTTCCTGTGAAAACAGGAAGTAATATCATGGGCCATTCTAGGATACGGGAAAACTATAGAGTTTTTATAAATCCTACCTAGAGCATCCCATGGCATCACCACTTTTTCACAAGAACTGACATTGTGCCAGCCTGAACCCTGATTTCTCAAAAAAAAACCAACACCCAAAACCATTTTCTCCTGCAGTAACTTCAGGTGCAGGTGGGAAAAATACCAGGTTGGCAGGAGGTCTCCTACTATGGCTATAGCAACCCTAGTAAATCATAGGAAGCCACTCTAGAACAACTGATTCACTTAGAATCTATGGTATATTATAGAGTTTCCCATTTCATGTTGCCATTTCTTCCAGAGGAGCTGGTCCCTGTAGTCTGTAGTTGTAATTCTAGGAGAACTCCAGGTGCTATCTTGAGATTGGTAAGCTTAATCAAAGTCTAAAGGTCATTTCCTGAAACAGCCCACTGTACAGCAGGGAGTGTTGGAGAGGAAACACTGTTGGTGCTGAGCAGAATCAACCAAACACTTATTTGTCTGTGCAGCATGTTGAGAGAGTGGGCTGAAAATTTATAGAATCACAGAGTTGGACGAGGGCCATAGAATCACAGAGTTGGAAGGCCATCTAGTCCAACCCCCTGCTCAATGCAGGATCAGCCTAGAGCATCTCTGACAAGTATTTGTCCAGCCGCTGCTTAAAGACTGCAGGTGAGGGGGAGCTCACCACCTCCCTGGGCAGCTGATTCCACTGTGGCACAACTCTGTCTGTAAAAAAGGTTTTCCTAATAGCCAATGATGGCGAGTCCTCTCCTCTGCTGCCAACAGGAACAGCTCCCTGCCCTCCTCTAAGTGACAGCCCCTCAAATACTTTAAGAGAGTAATCATGTCCCCCCTCAACCTCCTCTTCTCCAGACTGAACATTACCAAGTCCCTCGGCCTTTCCTCATAGCCCCTTGATCATCCTGTCACTCTCCTCTGCACCCGCTCCATTCTGTCCACATCCTTTTTGAAGGGAGGCCTCCAGAACGACACACAATACTCTTGGTGTGGCCTGACCAATGCAGTGTACAGCAGGACTCTGACATCTTGCAATTTGGACGTTATGCCTCTGTTGATACACCCCCAAGATGGCATTAGCCTTTTTTGTTGCTGCATCACACTGGGTGCTCATATTTAACTTATGGTCCATCCGTACACCAAGATCTTGTTCCCACAGACTGCTACCCAGAAGTGTATCTTCTATTCAGTATGCATGTTCCTCATTTTTTTTACCCAGATGTAGAACTTGGCACTTATCCTTGTTAGGTTTGGTGTAGTGGTTACGTGCGAGGACTCTAATCCGGGAGAACCGGGTTTGGTTCCCCACTCCTCCACTTGCACTTGGCTGGATGACCTTGGGCAAGCCATAGTTCTGATAGCCATAGTTCTGATAAGAGCTGTTCTTGAAAAAGAGCAGTTTCTGTCAGAGCTCTCTCAGCCCCACCTACCTCACAGGGTATCTGTTGTGGGGAGGGGAAGGGAAAGGAGTTTGTAAACCGCTCTGAGACACCTTTGGGTAGTGAAGGGCAGGGTATAAATCCAATCTCTTCTTCTTCTTCTATTGCATCTTATTCACATCCACCCACTTTTCCAGTGTGTTCAGATCTTGTTGAATTCTATCTCTATCTTCTGTTGTGTTTGCTGCTCCTCCCAATTTGGTGTCATCTGCAAATTTAATGAGTAGCCCCTCCCCACTCTCATCCAGATCATTTATAAATATATTGAAGAGTACTGGGCCCAGAACCGAGCCCTGTGGCACCCCGCTGGACACCTCCCTCCATTCAGATGAAATGTAATTGACAACTGCTCCTTGAGTGCGGTTCTCCAACCAGTTCCCTATCCACCTAACTATCCTAGAATCCATCTCTTAGCACAGTTAATGTGCAAGGTAGGATGAGAGCACCAGAGGAGCTACCCAAAAGGAGGGTAGCTTCTGGGTTTACATCATTCCAATCTACCCTGAAAGTTAGAGACAAATTGTGATGATGCAAATCAGCCGTTTGATAAAGTGTCCTTTAACCCAAACATGGCTGCATCATCATTTCATTCAGACACTGCTGGTACAAAGGGCAGCAAACATACAGAAAACATCAGCCAGGCATGCTGAGCTTAACCAAGGCATGGACAGCCAACATCTGCAGCGATCCTGTTATAGATCACAAAGGAGACTCTTGACACGAGGCCAGAGGGAACACAACCAGGCCACAATGAGTGAAAGAAAGACAATGAAGGATTTTTTGTTTTAAAAAAGAGAGAACACAAAGGGGGTGGAATGGATGAAATAGAATATGACAGTGTCACACCCAGGCTGCACGCCTGGGGGTACACCGCCCTCTGCCATGGTGACCATTGCATTGGGGGGACGCTCCAGAAGCCTCAGACTGGGAGGGAAGGGAGTTTGGCTTACCCTCTCCCCCCCCCCCCCCCCCCCTCAGAACTCTCCCATGCAGCCAAGAGACTCCAGGTCGTTCCTCCCCAGGTCTGAAAACTCCTTCTGGCCCTCCCACTACCCATCTGAACTCCTCCTCCTTCCCCCTCGTTGGACCAGACGACTGCTCGTCAGGCTGGGTCTGTGGCTGTTGGTTTGCGGGACTTCCAGCAGTGGCGGCAGGGTTCCCCAAGGAGATGGTGGTTGCCTCAGCCTCCCTTCCCCCATCGCTGCTGCTTCCGGTCACTGATCCAGGCTCTCCGCTGCCTCCGGTGTCCTCCGGGGCCTCTCCTGCTCCAGCCGCCCCTTCCCTAGTGAGTCGGGGTGTCCGGGACTCAGGGCCAGCCCAGGGGGCTTTTCACCTATTGCATAGGCCCCAACCCTGGACAGATGGGAATGCAGTAGGCAACTGATGGGGAGAAATGTCAGTTTTAACTTTCAGTTGAATCTTGTGAGTGTGGCCAGGAGAAGGAAAGACTGCTCTTCCATCCAGAAAACAAGTCAGAACTGTTCAACCGCAATAAAGTGTCAACATCATCCTGCAACGGCCTTAACTGCTTTTCAGCCTCATCTATACCAAGGGACTGTTGTCCATTCATATTGGGCTGCATCTGACATCTCCCTTCTACCAATTTGGATCCTTTTATCCCCTAATCTACTCTGTTCCACTATTCTACTCCCTCAAGTACCACTCTATTTCAGTTGCTGGGGAGCACAGGCAGGGGAAGCTATTGCAGTCACCCTCTTGTGGACTAGAGGCAGCTGTTTGACCACTGTGTGAACATATTGCGGGACTTGACAGGCCTTTGGTCTGATCCAGCAGGGCTTTTCTTATGATCTTATGACCTCTACTGACACGAAAGTGAATGTACATACAAAGCATGTGTACACGATCTTTCCTTTATACCCATATTGAGCAATTCTTCCGTTACATTCAATGAAAGTATGGCTGAACATGTGACATAAACTCCACATTGACCTAAGGTACCAATTCTGGGTTTAATATTTACAGTAAACACCCATGGGCTGTTTCCTGCAAACAGATGTACAAGGATATGCAGCATAGTAGTGAGACTGATGGATCCAAAGTGACTGTGAAGCACACTGGGTGACCTTGGGCCAGTGGCACCTTGAAGACCAACAAAGTTTTATTCAAGGTATTTGCTTTCATCTGCATGCATGCTTCTTCAGATTAAAGTCCCAATGGCCTCTGCTTCAGACCAACATGGCTACCCACCTGGATCTATCTGAAAAGGTGGTTGTGAGGATAAAATGGAGGAGGGGAAATATCACCCCCTGCTCCTTGGCAGAGATAAAAAGCTGATAAAAATGTAAACACTCACATGACTTACAAATATTCACAGCAATGTGTGCACAAGGCTTAAGTCTTCCTTCAATGGAGAAAGGTTTAGTAGAATGGGATTTGGGGTCTACTGATGAGTAAGGGAGTTAGTTGATCCAGTTCATTGATCCCTCCTTCCTGCATCCTGAGTAATGGGAAATTCCATGCCTAGTGGCACAATGTTTTTGTTTTTGTCGTTGTTCAGTCGCACAGTCGAGTCCGACTCTTCGCGACCCCATGGACCAGATCCCGCCAGGCCCTCCTGTAGTTCTCTATCCACGTACTGTTGAAGCCTAGCTTGTAGGATCTTGAGCATGACCTTGCTAGCGTGTGATATGAGTGCAATTGTGCGATAGTTTGAACATTCCTTGGCATTGCCCTTCTTTGGGATTGGAATGTATACTGAACTTTTCCAATCCTGTGGCCACTGTTGCGTTTTCCAAATTTGCTGGCATATTGAGTGCAGCACTTGAACAGCATAATCTTTTAAGACTTTGAATAGTTCAGCTGGAATACCATCACCTCCACTGGCTTTGGTTTCCATTAAATGACAAAATACATGGGAATTCTACTGTCTTTGCAATGCATGCTGTATTTACAAATACACATCTAGAGCATGAATAAAGACAAGTGCACTTCTCAAAGCAGGCAACTTAACCAATTATTCTTTTGCTATT